TATATATATATATATATGTATGTATATATGTATATATGTATATATGTATATATGTATGTATACAGATATATATACATAGCTACATATATATACATGCATACATATATGCATACATATAAATATACGTATAAATATACATATGTATATACATATTCATACACGCATGCACATTTATGTATGTATGCGCGTGTCATGTGTATGTATGTATGTATGTATGTATTTATTTATTTATTTATTTATGTATGTATGTATGTATGTATGTATGTTTGTATGTTTGTATGTATGTACGTAGGTATTTGTGTATGTATATACGTATGAGCGTGCGTGCGTGCGTGCGTGTGCGTATGCGCGTATATGTGCGTGTGAGTGTGTGAGTGTCTGTATGTATGTACGTATGTATGTATACGTATATATGAATATACGTTATTTTTGTTTATACCTCATTTTGTTACAACCACTAATCTTATAATTGTATAAACCCTGTGGCATGAATTTGTTGTCGTTGCCCTATAGTTTTAGTTACCTAGCTGTGCATTTTTTATTGATATGAGAATGCCACACATATCGACCTAATTTATCATTTATAATTTTATAACGTCAACTACATTTCTGTTTTTGTTGTTATCTTTTCCTTTTATAATTTCATATAATTTCGTACACTTTTATTTTCTGTTCTTTTTGTCTTTGTTATCTTAGTCGTTGAATACAAACCACGTATGACATTATACGTAATTTAATTTTAATAGTCATTATCACCTAGTTACATAGATAATTATTGTATACGCACTTTTACTTTTACTTTAAAACAGTTTATTTCCTCGGTAACCGTAATAATTATGTGTGCGATAATTGTCATTTTTGTTGAATATTCCTGTACATTTGTACAATTAGTCGTTAGCTGTTTGATAATAATTAGATATTACGTTAAATGTCACCTAATTTAATTTCTTCCTTAACTTTTTTGCTGCTAATATTAATTTAAACATAGAAGTATCATCAATTGAATGATTATTAGCAATCTTTAAAACCTTGTAATAGACATTGTATTTAATAACAATACAATTAATTATTCATTAATTTTCTAATTTTAAAATAAAAGGTCTTGATTTTTATATAATTGTTTCTCATAATAATGAATTTATTATTACTTATTTTAATGCAGAATCATAATTGTGCAAAAAAATTTTAATTCACAAATAATTAGGCCAATAGTACGATTAATCAAGCTATAAAATTAGCTGATAATAAAATTGCCTCCACTAAATTCATTTTATTTATAAGACGAACGTTCTATTACATACTTTAACTGATTATTTTCATAAGTCCTAATAAATTTTCACGATAAGTTAATATATTCAAGTAATCGATGATATTTCCACATTTTTTAATATTACACAAGAACATAGATAAATAAACAAAATGGCTTTCACCCACTATAAGCAATTTATCATCCTTTAAAATATTAGTTGTATGCTATTGAAATTAATTGTTCAATAATCAACGCATTAAACTCGCCAGTCCACCTATACGTAAACACCTTCATTCTATCTCCTATTGGCTAACTAATTTCCAATTCTCGTAAAATTCTTCTTTTTTCTTATTCTACAGCTAGTCATTGAAGCCAAACATTTTCTTTCATTATCAATTTTTTTCATTCACTTTTATTTTAAGGTGGAGTTCATCCGATTTCCATTAATACTTTGGACGAATTCAAATTCTCTTGTAAATCCTCATTAATCCTAATTGAAAATAAATATTTGAGTGTATTATAATGTCGGTTCAAGGGTCGTTTATTAAATAATGATTGTTCGGAAAGAAAAAACTGAGCCCTAAGTATATCATGAAAAGTATGGACAAAATGTACAGAAACATACAATACGACGCCCACGACGATTGTATTTAAATATAAAATTAATATCTAAAATTAGATTCCAAGTTTCAATGCAATAATGTCTTATTTAGTTAACTATTTTCATATACAGCTGACGCAAAGTATAAAAACTTGCCACTGTCAACAGAAAAATTTCATACAAAATAATTATACATTTTACATCATTTTCCATCCCACCATTGTTCCTCATCATCTAAAAATCCCACTCTTCCCTTAACGTTCCATTAATCTTATCGAGCGTATTTCGAAATCGTCCAAAGCATAAATCCAAGTCGAGTACCACCAACCTTTCTAATCATTATCATTATTATTTTTATTAATTTTTATTCTCTGACAATCCGACCGCTGCGGCAGTGTCGTGATTGCGTTGGGCTTAGTTAATTTGTTTGCGTTGCTTATTTAGTCTGTGTATTATTTTGTATAGAACGCAGTGCGACACAACCTGTCTCTCCACAAATGTTTCATGCGAGTCGAAAACGTGAAGGGGGCCGTATGGACGGTGGATGAAGTGGAGTTTTACAAGAGACGCCCTCAACGCGCTTGCAGCACGACTGGGTACGTTGCCCCACCCCCGACCACCCTCTAATAGTCTCCATCTCGACACCCACCCCCCCTTATCACCCCAACCCACCAAATACAAAATATCGCGCGTCTTATCTCTACATATATTTATACAGTTATGTAAATATACGTATACATATATGTATATATATATATATATATATATATATATATATATTTTTTTTTTCATATTTACACACACACATACATATATATATACATATATATATATACATATATATATATATGGCTTTATAAATATTTATATAAATTTATATATGGATATATATGGATAGGTATATATAATATGTATTCATATTTATATATAAATGTATGTGTCCCTATATATATATATATATATATATATATATAAACACACATATGTCCGTGCATATGTACATATACATGTATATAATTATAACTATTACCAATACTTATATGTTCATTCATTATATAGAAAATTTTTATAATTTATTTACTTCGTGTTATTTGCTATTTTTATACGCTATATCGATCTCTCATATACATATATATTTACCGCTCATAGTAATGTTAAACAATTATGAACGATCGATCGATTGTTTATTTTATTAACAAACTGCTAAAACAACGACAATTATGCTCATGCATTATTTTAATAATAAATTAATATAATTTATTATCGATCGTGCATAATCGTACGATTTACATTTTACTCATTTTTAAGGTGTATATTTCAATTTTTTCTCTCATCATATTATGATTATGTCACAATATTTTATAAAATCCAGTCTCACCTCCACAAATCTCATAATTGCCAAGCTTTGTTCTATGTCTCTCCCACTTTCTCGAAATTTCGACTCTGTGTCTCTTTTTACAGTTATTTTGAAAGTAATCACTTTCACTAATTTTTACTATAATTGTTCAATAAGCTACGATCGGGAAAAAAGCCCAATAGAAATAATAATGACAACCGAGTGTTATCATATTTTCTATTGTTTGAAAATTTTCGATTTCTATTTGACTTTTTTCTCTTTCGAGCACTAAATACTAAAAATGTTTTAAATATATACCTATACATTCACCCATGCTTATATGTAATTTTTTAGAAACACATTATTTATAATCACATTTTAATGGCGCTTTTATTAACTTTGTACCTATTTATCTATCTCTTTTTCTATTTTATCTTTACGTCTCTTTTTCTCTAAGTAGATAAATTATCACTTATTCTGCTTCTATATATATATATATTTGTGTGCGTGTGCGCGTGTGCGCGTGCGTGTGGGTGTAGGGGCGTACATGTGTGTGTGTGTGTGTGTAGGTGTGTGTAGGTGTGTGTGCGTGTACACGTGCGTGTGTGTGCGCGCGCGCGCGCGCGTGTGTGTGTGTGTTTTAATTTTCAAACTTTTTTATATTTCAATATACATAGTTTTTTAAAATATTTATTAGATATTTACATAATTTGTTACATTTTATTACATTTTAATACCCTTTCTGTATATTTGGATTTGTTCTTCCATACTTTTAAATTTTCTTTATATATATTAGTGTGCGCGTGTGCGTGCGTGCGTGTGTGCGTGTGTGTGTGCGTGCGTATGTTTATATGTATCTCTGTAAATATTTGTACTCTTTTATAGTACAGTGCGTAAAAATATGCGTAATTTAATTATAAATACTCGTATTTTACGCACGAGTGTTGTTATATTCGTATAATTGCAATAGTTAATTTTATATAAAATATTTCTTAACCTATATTTATATGTGTGATGTTGCCTTAGTGATTTGTTACATTTATCTTTAACATTATTGGCAAAATTGTCTTTTATCTTTTACACTTACTTATAAGATCATCGATTAGATGATTATAATTATTTATGGAATTTATGTGTATGAATTCTCTTTGCAGTGTCGAATTTGGTACTGCAATATCTTATATTCTTAATGAGTAGACAATATTCATGCATTTTTATTATTTGTATTATATTTATCTCTATATAAATTTTTTTTCATATATGCGTACTAGTCGCGAGTTTTTCGAGTCGAGGCGCTGAAAAGGAAAATTCGAGGTTGTTCATTGCACTTTTATTTGTGGGTGTAGTCTAGGTATTATCGTATCAATTATCCAGCGTATATTTGCGATTTTACCAGATACACTTGAACAATCTGGAATTTTCCGGCACGTTTTACAGTCTATTTATATAAGTTTAAATAATATATTTTAATATATTACTATAGTTTAATATATAATACAGAAATATAATCGCGTAATAAAATGTTTAAGAGCTTGCATTTACTTTTATTTTAATTTAAAGCTTCCTTGTTGTTATAATATTTAATATCGCAGGCTATATTTTTATGTACATTTTATCATTATCATTGTTATTATTATATTGAAATTTTTTAGTCGCAATGTTTAAGAATCTAGCGAAATAATATGTTTTAATTAAATTTTTACGATTAGTAGTCATAGTTAATAGATTATTAATTATTTTAAATATTTGTGACAGTTACGTTGATGATTACAAGTATTATTATGTGCATGATTAAATAATTCTTAATGTCATTTTTTCTCCAATAATTGTACGTGTATTTATTATTATTACAGGACAACTTGGTCAGTATTTATTAGCTATTAAAGTTTAGAAATTAATATTTTGTATAAATATATACATGTAAATGTATAATGTTATGTTTAGAACATAAAATGTTCTTATAGTACAGTCAATGGTTTAATTTTATAAAGATACTGCCAATATAAATATTTATTTAAATTAAAATTGAAATTATATTTACATTAGTAAATTAATAAATGCATTAAAATTACTACTTAAATAAATATTTAACTAATAGATTGTTGAAGCACTCGATGGAGTATATACTTATTATTTTTTATACTTAATTTTAGTAGTTTTGTAGACTTAAGTGTTTTTTTATTATGGTAATGAAGCATTTTAAGGTAATCATTATAGAACTGTGCATTTATATATTAACGTGTAATATTTTTAACACACGCGCGTGCGCGTGCACACATCCACACAAACACAAACACACGTACAGAGGAGATGCATACAAATTAAGAAACTAATAAAAATTTCAGAGATTTTCATAATTTTATGAGAAGAAAGTTATGAATTTTTCAAAACAACAGTGTAAGTACCTTAACAATATGATTAGATCATCGAAAATCTTAAATTCAACGTTTGTTTACGCATATCAATTTATTCCTAGTTACGCATGTATCTTTAAGTATAATCTATCACAAATATATCTAATATCGTAGTACTTAATAATAATTAACGCTCTATAATAGAGAGAGAGAATCTAGCGACTCGACTCGGCAAACGAACGACCACGAAATGCAGATAAACGAAACTATTACGAAAATAATAGAGCTCTGAAGGCTCAGCCCCGTCTCCGCGTCGCCCGCCCCATAGTGTGAAACGAGCACACATGTATTCATACACATGATAATGATGCGTGGGTGGTGCGCGAGAGTGAGGAATGTGGCGGAGAGAAATGGTAGAGACCAGGAATTTGCCTAACAAGCATGCGGGCTTTGCAGCGACTAACAGTGCCTGTCTCTCTAAACACACGTGCATCACTATCTCTATCAGTTTCTCGTTTATCCTTCTTGCTCTCTTTCTATATTTATTTATCTATCTATTTCTTTCTTTATTTCTTTCTTTATTTATTTATCTATTGATTTATTGATTTATTTGTTTAAGTATTTATTTATTTATTTATTTATTCTTGTCTTTGTGTTGTAAATTGAATGTGTACTTATAAGAATTGGACGTGTGAATTACGGAACAAGCCGAATATGCAGCTAAAGGGAAAATTCAGAAATGTCGGAAGGTCCTTAGGGGGATCTTCGGAGCATACGATCATCGAGCGGCCTAAAGCTGAGGGATCTCTCACGGAATGGAAGCATCCGCTTTTATCCCCTCTTGTTCCATTTCTCTCTTTCTCTCGGATTTTCTCGATGCTTATTTAAAATCGTACTCTGGTGTAAGTTTTATCGTCTCTCCGACTACCCGATGTGCGAGCTAAAGTCTTGAGAGAAACTCTTTCGATTCGACGTTCGCGTTCATAAGGGCTTACACCAATGTCAATTGATTAAGCATAAGATTAGATAAGGAGATTAAGAAGAGAAAGAGGGAATTAACGAAAGAACATTAGCACGTTTATATTGACGTCACTCGCAAGAGAATATAAACAATTTCTCGTTACTTTTCATTTACAGTTCTTCTGCGAGCCACTTCCTTTCTCCCCCTTAAACTTGCAGTTTTACGAATCTCTTTGCATACTAAGTGCCTCTGTATTTATTTTCACTATTTATTCTCTCTCTCTCTCTCTCTTTCTCTCTTTCTCTATATTGTTCTCTCTCTCTCTCTCTCTCTTTCTCTCTTTCTCTATATTGTTCTCTCTCTCTCTCTCTCTCTCTTTCTCTCGACTCTCGAACTCTGACACGTTGTTATGTATGCACGCACTCACACACTGTCGGAGAAAGAACAATAGCCAAAAACAGAGAAAATTGGGGAGGCATTTCCGGAGTTGAATCCAACTGTAGGTCGGGTTGTGCGAAAATGATATCAGTTGCAAGAAATGGGCGAACGATGAACAAGCAAAAATTGAATTTAATCGAATTTATGCGTTGAAAAGAAAGCGACTTCCAAAGATACTTCGATATCTCAATTTTATTGATCGGCGTGTAATATCGCTATGTAATGCGGAATATAATGTTTTTCATTCTATTCAAATGCCTATCCAATAGTTCAGTCATCTGATAATTAAATCTGCATTGCTTAAGGAATGAAGCATTAAATTTAATCCCCGTAAAATTAGAATAATTAAACAATGCTATGTACGAAATCCGAGATAAAAATTTTCTTAGGAATTACGTATCCTCCCACGATAAACATTATAGTTAATACTCTGAAAAAAGTTAAACGACAATGTTTTGAGCCAGAATTCAGCATCGCAACCATTTATCTTATTACGCACATTGCACG